GTGTGTGTGTGTGTGTGTGTGTGTGTGTGTGTGTGTGTGTGTGTGTGCTTCTATGAAATTGTTTCGGATTCGAATTCGAATGGTGGACCCATAATTCTGGCATAGGTAGGTAGGTAGGTAGAAGGGGAAAAGTACGAATAGAAATTGAAGCAACTTAATTTAATTACGCATTTTAAATTGACAACAATTATGATAGTTACATAATTAAATAATTACTTGCGCGTGTTTATATCAAAAGCGAGTTTTACAATAACGTCTACTTATAACAAGGCTAATTGAAGTAGTTACCGAACAATTCCATTTGTTTCAGTTTCAGAGTTTTTCTATATATATATATAGATGAATATGTGATGAATATATATATATATATATATATATATGTATATATATATATATGTATTTATTTTTTTTTTATTGTTGTTGGTTTTTTTTTTTTTTTTTTGCATTTCATTTTTAATCATTTCTTTTTCTGGGGACGGTATTAAAAGGAGCATTTGACATTCTTATTATTATTATTATTATTATTATAATTTTTTGTTTTTTTTTTTTTTTTTTTTTTTTTGTGGAAGAATTGTTGCATCTGTAGACGATAAGATATGTAATATCATATATTAATGCACGTTTACTTGGGTGATTTTTTGTATATAGAAACAGTCCCTGAATACCGTGCAAAATGAAGCTTTAGGACAAAGCACTCCAACCGGACCTCAGTGTTCTACCAGAGCTTCATCAACATACAACTCAAGACGTACGTCTCTGGATAATAGCGGTGGTTCAGATATTGTAAATGCAGCACTCGCTAACGCCTCGGATAAAGCGGCCATATTAAATCATAATCCTGGCACAAGTTCACTAAACACCATTAAGTCTGAAAGTAACATACAAAAGTTGTCCAAACAAAATAGTTTAGAAAAGCCACAAATTGTGCATTCAGCCGGCAGTGCCGATTCTATTACAGCTAACATGTCGCATCGTCACGGCGGTCTTACACAAAGTTCGATCGCTGATTTGGAAAAGAAATTGGCAGCTTTACGGCATGCTGAAATTCTTGATGAGGTAAATCAATCGGGTATTACAATATTATTTGCTTAGTATAAAAGTAATCCAAGCCCCCTCGGAATTGCCACAATTACTAGCGATAGTGTAATACCAAGGAGGGTAGTGATCAAATTAATCAATTAACTTGTAAGAGATCCGATGGCGCGCGAATTTTAAATATTGAAAAGATTAAACTTTGACTAATCGAGCAGTCAACGAACGACCAAATTTCTTGGAGTAAATCAATATTTACTTATATTAAAGAAAAGAATAAGAATACAAATGTTTATAAATGATGGCATCATCCGCACGCACTCCTCATAATTCTGTGTGCGGCATGCGTCAAAAGGCATTGATAAGAGTTTAAAATTAACCGATTAGGGGAACGATTTTAATGACAAATGAATGAAATTATCGTGGCCGCCGAAGGAGCGAAAAAATATGGAAAAGCAGTATTGAAAGGATCGTCAACGAAAAAATTGAGCAGAAATCTGATTTTGATTTGATATTAATATGCTCCCGCGGGGAATTAATCAAATCAACTACAGTCGAACCGAATCAATGAAATAACACTCATGGGTTTTTTTTTATTTTTTATTTATTTATTTTTTTTATATATAAGAGCAAAACAAGTTTTCCGCATTCGCCCGCTTTCGTGGAAGAAATTTCACTGAATCTGCAAAAAAAAAAATACTCAACATTTCTTTCCATACTAGGAAAGATGAATTAATTACATGCATGATTATTCTATAGAATCGGTTCAGATATTCATCATTTAACCTAGTGGTTCGTATCTGTCAAATTTGTTTTAAGGTATCTCCATTTCAGAATTCATTTGCTTTTATAGTAGTAGTGCAGTTCCTTTTTTTTTTTTTTTTTTTTTTTTTTTTTTTCTTCCATTTGCGGTACATCTATTTATTTCAATTGATTGGTTCTCTCGTAGAAGACATACCTTGTCTCTATAGTACAATTGTTGTGTTGGCTTCTACATTACACGTTTTCCAATCTGTGTTGACAGCAGTGTCTCTCTCATATCTTTATTAATATGGTTGATGCCTGCCTGGATTAAAAAGCGCTCTTATAATCTGGAAACTCTCCTATATAATTGTATTAGAAACGGAGATAACGATCGCGTATTGTATTTTGCTTCGGTTTTGTATAGATATTTACTTGATGGGCTGCACAGAAAGTTTAAGAAGCCAAACCACAAATATTCTCTATTTTGTGTTGAGGAAAAATTTTGTGGAAAAATTGGAGTAAATTGGTATTCGTTAAATGGGTTGGCCCGTTTCATTTCCGTCGCCTCTTTTCCTCGAAACAAAGATCGATCAAATTGGTTTGATTGTTATTAACTACTCAGCATATGGCTCCTCAGACAGACTGTTCCTTGTGAAGTGCTATTCTTTATTGTAGCCCATGCTGATTAAATCTAAAATCTTACTGCTACGTCTCTGAGCGCTTTCTTTCATTTTGGGAAGTGACATCGAAGATGTCCTTTTTTTTTTTTTTTTTTTTTTTTTTTTTGCACCCGGGAATGTTGTTCAGTGTACTATTCTATTGTTTTACTTCAATTAATCGGGGCGTGCACAATGCATCCATCGGTCGATTTTTTTATTTTAGAAAAATATCAATTATAAAACAATAATTTAACAACGAATGAAAAATGTAGTGAGTATATTAGTTCTCTTACCTGATCTTTTTTTTTTCTTTTGGCCGCTTAACGTTACTATTTCCTTATTATAATATTTTTATTTTGTTTGGCAGGGGAAGAGCTCGAATAACACTGGAAGCGCAACCCCATTAGAAAATACCAGGAAAATTTCGAGATTTTGCGTGAGTCGAGTACAGGAGCAAAAAACTGCAGAGCAAAATAAAACTACAGTAGCAAATGCTTCTAACGTAAGCGTATTGCCAAAGCCTTCTATAGATTTGCAAGGAAGTGCAGCGGTAGTAACACAGCCAACGGGCGGCAGTGATAAAACTAGTTTGGTTAATACGCCCACTGAACAGAAAACAACACCATCGCAGTATCACGCATCACCAGTTGCAAATCTTCAACCCAATCCGACAAATACCGTTCAACAGAGTAATCAAGGACAGCAAATCGCTTGTCAGCAATCGTTACCGGCAGTGTTAACCCAACATACTGTTCAACAGCAACAGCAAATTGTTCTTATGCAATTGAAAGGACCGCCGGCCCAGGGGCACGCATTGATTGCAAGTGCTCAGATGCAGACTCAAGCGCCAAATGTCCAAACGCAACTACTTAATGCCCAAGCGCAGCAGCAAGCGGTACAACAAAAACTTCCTCTTCCTCAACTTATGCAACAAACTACGGTTATGTCACAACTAATTCAACAGCAGCCGCAGTCGCAGTCGCAGTCGCAGCCACAGCCGCAGCCGCAGCCACAACAACAATCGCAGTTGCCACAGCAAACACAGCTAACGCAGCAACCTCAGTTAACACAGCAGCCTCAGTTAACCCAACAATCGCAATTAACGCAGCAACCACAGTTAACCCAGCAGCCACAGATAACACAGCAGCCACAGCTAACACAACAGCCCCAGTTAACACAGCAACTGCAACTGCAACAGCAGCGTCTGCAACAACCATCACAGCAACTTCAAAATCAGCTTCCGCAACAGTCTAATCAGATGCAGCAGCAAGAACAAACTTCAAATTCTTATAGTACACAAGCAGTCGGTACCAGTGCAATTTACCAAGGGCTTGAATCTTTGCAACAACAACTAGACAGAAATCAAGGACAGCAGTTAACGCAAAAGCCCCAGCAGCAACAGCAACAACAACAGCAGCAATCGTTACTGCAACAACATCACACAACACAACAGACGCCTTCCAATATCTCGAAAACTACTCTTCCGTCACAACAATCCACACAACAGCAAGTATTACCGCAGAATTCGGCAGTTCCTTCAATGATTACGCCTATTCTTCAAAATCCCTCATATATCATACCACATAACCATCAACATTTAATTACCTCCCAGCAAACATCGCAAACCTCTCAAAATTTGCCAACTGCCACTCAACCCGTTTATTTGCACAACGAAGGTAAGCGCATTATTATTATATTACGAACGTGCGAACGTAATAATTATTTTATTATTATTTTATCATAATATTATTATTAGCTATAGCCATACCCGCAGAAGAACCGGTTTCCCTAGCAGCCACTCATCCAAATTTATTACCAATGGACATTCAATCGGTAAATGAAATTTTTATTATACATCATCCTGATAATGTATTTTTATCATAAGCATTTATTTTATTTATTTTATTTATTTTTATTTTTCTGTTTTTTTTTTTTTTTTTTTTTTTTTTATTATTATATTCTCTCAGGATATTAAGCATAATTTAGATTCTTTGGTAAATCAATTATGTAATATGCGGTTGGGGACAACTCAGCATCAACGTTTATTACTTTTAAGGCAACGTCAGCTTATAGAAGAAGACGAGTTACGGTTAAAGCATTATGTTGAATATGAGAAGTTTCAGAAAACCTTGCGACAATGTTAGACAAACTTGACAAATTCATATATATTTATGCATATATTAACTCAATTTCTTTACTTTCAAAAAGATAATGAAGTTGTACAGCCTCAAGCACCGGTTTTGTATATACAACCTACTACTGGCCAACAGGGCTTTTTAAATTTTCCTGGAGGCTTTGTACCAGCGAATCAAAATAATCAAAATACGAATATAAACGCAAACGCTCAGAGCTCCGTTGCAACAAATCCCCCGCAAGGATATCCGCTTCTTTTCAATCAAGCGCTATCTATACAATCTACATTACAACAACAACAGCAGCAGCAGCAGCAACTTCCGCAGCAGCAAGTACAACAACCAAAGCTTATTTCGAATCAACAAAACCCTTGCAATCAAAATGCTAAGCAGCCATTGACAGCAGCAACAAGCTTAACTCCAGGATCACATAGCATGAATACTCCTGGGAGTGATACTAGTTGTAAGTACAAATTTGCATAAATTTTTATCGCGCTTTACTCGTCGCTAACCTCACCGAGCCGAATGCATTTTATACAAAATGTTTATACGATCTCTTCATTTTTAATTCAATAGCAAAGTCCATAAAGTGCGCACTATAGTATAGTATGATAGTATGAAGATAGTATGAAATTATAAGTAATCATAGACAATATATGGGGAAAAAAAGAATTGAATTATCTGAAAGTTTATCACAGATGCTAATAACCCTGACTGACCTTGACTGACTGTCTTATGCGTTGAATTTTTTTTTCAAATTCGATCGGTTTAATTAATGTCTTTTGATCATTTAACATCAACGAACAACGATCAACGATCAAAACGCGATCAGCCAACGCGAAATTTTTCAAAATATATTTATTATTTTACTCGACTGCATACTGTATACTGTACACTGTTCCCTCAATGAATTTCAATCCCAAATGCAATTTATGCCCTGAATATTATATACATATATATGACATATATATACATATATATCAACAAAACTGTTTATATATATATGAGTTAATAGAAATGAACAAAAAATTCAGGGGATTTGTGTACAGCAGAGGAGGTCTTCTTATTTCAATAAAATAGCAAAAAATATTTTATTATTATTTTTTTTTCTATTTTAGCCTATTCGTGCATTTCCTTCGAAAAGAGTCATTTTGTTTTTGCAACTAATCATTTTCCGGCTTTTTTTTCTTTCATAATTTTAGGCAAGAATAAATTAAATATAAAATTCGGTAAAATTTTCGATTTTCAATTATGCACATTTTTGACCCTCTCGATACCACCCCTAGCACTGCAATTAAATGTTGTCGATATCGTTCAAGACAAACGCCCATAGATGAGTAGTAATAACGCTATTTGTTTGCAAACATATTTATCGCATCACTATAGATGATCTTCTCGATCTTCTTCGCGGCGTTACATATGCCAATTTCTCATTTAAATGCTTTTCTTGTAAAACACAGCATTGATTAAGTTTTTTCCCCATATTGTACGAGATAGATAGAAATTATGAAATTTATCGGCGCATACGTTTTTTAGTGTTGTTGGCAAAGGATGCCGAATGAAATGAAATGAAACGTCAATATTGAATAGTCTTTTTCTCACTAATGATCCAAAATTTGATACGAATATTGTTTAACTGTAACAGATTTATTCAAAAATTCGAACAGTAAACAAACTGACGGGATAACGGCTATTTTACACAATTCGTCCTTTCCCTCTTCCTATTTCAATCGCGCAAATTTCAAACGACTAATCGCTCTGATAACACATTTCATGCGCATTGCACGTTGCATTTCCATATTTATTTATTTACTTATTTATTTATTTATTTATTTATTTATTTATTTTTTTTTTTTTTTTGCTTTTTTTGTATAACTTTTTATAATCGAGATCTGGTCGATCGATCGATCTTCTAAGCATAACATGCCCCCTAATATGCGCAAACATTAATCGACCAGAGCACGGCGGCAACATGTCTTTTTAACATACAAGCCATACAATGTACTTGCTGTGTTAACTTTTTAATGAAAATATTTTTTGAAGCATTTTTTAATAGAATTTTTCACACAAGGCGCTGAATTTTTCCCTTATCCCCCTTTTGCATTTTCTCAGAGCAAACGTTGCGACAACTTTTTAAAGTAAGAAGAAAAACCATTCTTTTTATACTCTACCATCACTTGTGGTAAAGGGTATATTAAGTTAGTGCGAACGTATGTAACATGGAGAAGGAGCTTAAAACAGTCTCATCTTTTATTACACGAATCGATTCAGAATTATAAACTGAATTGACCTAAGACTGACTGTCTGTCCTTTTGGTGTCTGTACATACATATAAATTGGTGTTCAAGCTACAAATCGCAATTGTTAAGATAATTTAATTAAATTTGGTACAGTGATGTGTTTTTCACCCAAAAACGAACGGTCTTGAAAATCGTTCCACTCCCCATATAACGCCCTATTTTGGAAAATTACAAGTTTCAAAATTTCTCAGCAAAAATGGCTAAGTAATAATATTTTGCCATTCTAAATTGTTATGAAAACTTTGAATTCACTGAGGCAATTTTTCCATCCAGTCTCTCATATAACGAAAACTGAAGTGTTGTTCATAGGTGTAATTTTCAGTGCTCCATGATGAAAATTATATCCTAATAGTAATTTAGCATAAAACAATTATTCGGCAGTTCGGCATAAACAAATTTGGACTATCTCGGCCTACGAACCACGGTTCTTTCTTATTTTTTTTTAAATTGTCCCAAAAACACAAAGCATCCTCTTATGATCTGTCAATAGATCATTAATTGTTGCCAGGAATATTATATGGTGGATGGCATAGCAAATCAAGATTCAATTCATTCAATTTTACCATTGTTGGTTTCGTTTCATTGTGAGCCAACGCGGCCCCCCTGTTTGCGTCTTCCCATATTTCTCATGCCGAGATTTTGATTGACTATGTTGAGAAATACATTCTGTGGACATATATTAATATCTGTAATTAATTCATTAATTAGACAGTCGTTTAGTGAACTTGAGCTGTGTTTTCGTCAATGGTTACACGTTCGTTACATATCGTCACCCAAGCTGATAACAATCGTACGATAACCGAAAATACTAGGATTGTAGAGTCCCTACAGACAAGGTACAACCATAATGTTTACATTTGTGCATAATAATGTGGGATCCTCTTAAATCGTGGGTGTGATAATGATTGCTTTCTTTTTCTTGTAAAATGAACAATTGAACAAATGGACAAGCTCAGTTAAATGTTTGCTTCATCTTTAATGTAATTAAAATAATTTGTATATTATTTTAAATTTTTACAATTTAATAAGGAGATCGAAACCCTACCATTAGTTATAATTTATGATAATCGTATTCGAACCTTAATTTAATTGTTTGAAACGTAGACATATGTATTCGACATCGGTGTTTTATTTGTTTGAAAATGTATTTGAAAAAAAATAGAATTTATATTAATTTTTTTATGAATACAAACAATTACAATATACATTAACAAGAAAAGTTATTTAACAGTAGGTATGTCGTACGTATCAACATCGGGCACTACTACCCAGCAACAGCACCCAAATATTATTAACGCCGCAGGAACAATAATTCAACATCAAGTTATGCCTTCTACATACGTAAATTCTCAACAGCAGCCGGAACCGTCCGATACAACGGTAACTATTAGTACTCCTGGAGAGGGACCTGTAGCAATTCATCGTAAGTAATATTTCTGTAGTAGTGTGCGTCTCTGTTCACCTCTGCTCACATTTACGTCAATGGTATAATTAAAGTTTAACGTTATAATTACTACTTTATGTACATACATATATACGTAACAGGAACAGAGGTTATTCTTCTGCGTAATGTTTTTGGTCTTTTCAGCCAATCATTCATCTTACGTTTAAAAGTACTGCTCTAGATGATCGATCAACTATATATATATATATATATATATATATATATATATATATATCTGTATTATTAATATATTTATCACTAAATGTGCGTTATTTTGCTTGATTAGCTTTAGTTCTAAGGATTATTGATAATTTCAATTTTGAATCGATTAAAAATTTTAATCGATTTTCGTCGTTTCTTGTCGTTAAATTGCCTCGTTTTGTCTGCTTTTCTGCTTCAGTAAAATATAATTTTGAAGAATCGCTAATTGTATGCTGTATTCAATACATGCGTTTGCAATTATGCGGCATGTAAGTATCCGTGAATTTCCCCGATTAGCTTAGTGGGTTATACTTTCGGGACATGATTAACGATCGAAAACCAAAAAAATCTGATTCTAACTCGAAGTCTCTCCTGATGCAATTTGCGATATCGTGCAAACAATTCCATTTTTGCACTTGTAACGAGAAATTTCCATACTCTAAGCGGGCTGGCTTCGCGGAAATTAACCGCCCTTATATTTATATATATATATATACCTCTAGCGGTGTGTCCTTTAAAAACTCTATCCTGGCGCACTTGTGTAATCATTTTACCATTACCATCGTTACCATTGAATGATAATTGTATCATGTCAAGCGACTAATATTTAAATATTAATCGGGCTCAACGTAAAGATGATTTAAGTCATACCTTTTTCAATTGGCTTCATTTGTGGAGCATTCCAGGTCAGTGTGTAGCACACTTCATCAAAATTTAATACAAAATAAATGTCATTATTGATCGATTAGAGTGTTTTAATTTGTTGATAATAGTGAGATAGAAATTACATGTTAATTATAATTATATTGATGCAAAGCAATGCAATAAAAAAATTTCACTTAAGTACTTTTTATAGTGTGAATATTTAGGATTTCTTTTCAGCATATTTTAATAACTAGAACAGAATAGTGAACGAAATCAATAAAACCTTTTCTTCTGCTATTTTCTGTTTCTACAGTTTATGTTATTGTCTCCCACCCTTGCATTTTATTATGATCGATGGTATTTCCTTATCGTTTTCCTTCTCCTCTTCATTTATCTTTCAATTTGGAATGCCTTCTATGCTTTCTTCTGCCACCTCTAAAGTTTGCTTATTGTCCTCCTGTGTAGATTTATTTCTGTTCGGAATATCCAAAAGAGAAGCTGCTAAGTTTTAGGTTAATTGTTTTGCATATTCGGAATTTTTAACTTAAAACATTTGTACAGCAAAATATAATGCCAAAATTTGCATAATCGGAAGAAGAACGAACACTCTTCAGTCAATCAATTTTGCCACAAATATCCCAATAAAATTTCACTTTACTTGAATTTAAAAACTCTAAAAATCATAAAAGTTAAGTGCAAGAGAGTTATATAAGAATATCAATGAAAATCAAGAAGAAATTTGTATACTATAGCGTAGGGTGAATTATAAGCGCAGACATATAAATAAATCTTAATTTTTACAATCGCTCGTTTCTAAATAAGTTCATATGTACTGAGCTACTGTACTATTTACAATTTACAAAATCATTCTGTTAAAAAACAAAATTAAAAAATAAATTTTAAAATTGTTACAAATACATTTACCTCTATTTCAAAATATTCAAACTCCTGTGGATTTGACAATAAGGGTATCTGCACTACCCATTCAATTTACCAATATATATGTCGTAACTGCTATTAATTGTATCCTATTCTAAAGCGTTCAATAAGCGATTAAAAGAATTTATGGAGAATGGATCATTTTGAATAATATTTTCGTGTTCGTAATGAGCCAAGTGTAACCAAGGATTTCTCTTATTTAATACATCAAAATAACTTTACACGCCTTCATTTCTATATAAAGGAAAAATATTAATTAATTTATTCATGTTGTGCTTTTCAAAAGATTTTGAAATAAATTTTTAAATATTCTTTAAATAGATTGATATAAATCAGCAATGGTGGGCTAAGAACCTACTGGACTGATTTACACGTGATTTTTACAAAATCGTCCGCATGGTTCCATGAGAACGTTTAAAACTATTCAAATTCTTTATCCGGAATTATATTGGAATGAAAGTGGAAAATATTTTCACCATGCCGACCAGACCATACAAAGAGATTGGCCTCCGTTATTGTTAAAAATGCCAAACAAAAACTATCGATGGTCGAGGAAAGACAAAATGAAATAGAAAAGCAACTAGCGTAACGAAATAAACAAAATAGATTCCATCCAAATTACAGCAACACAAAGCAACTCGAACAAAAATTCGAGAATTAAGGCAGTCTTTGCTAAATAATGTTGAAAAGTGAACAACACGGCAATAGTCGATTGCGCATGCAAATTAAATCAATTTGTTAAACCTGATAGTATTGCATTTTATTCAACATATCTTGGGTCCAGATGTCTTTGCTGAGCGTATAAAATTTGCGCACACAATGCAATCCATTAAAATTCAAGAACGAATCACCTGATCAACAACGAAGTGTTGCCAGATTAAATGATAGCATGTAAACTATCAAAAATTTAATTGTTGTTAAACGTTTTTGTAAAATTATTCCTTAATTTATTATAGTAACTTTAAAGAAAATTGGGGCTAGCTAGCTAAACTCTCTACATGTTTACATTGAAATTGTTAGGTGTCGACCATATTACTTTTATCAATAAATATACATTGAAATTATTAGCACAGCTAATAAACTAATTAAGATTCACTTTCTTCTAATTATAGGCAAGGCACGTTTCTCTCTATTACCATTCCTTCCTTTTTAGTTATCTTGATCGAGACGTTTCTCATGGTCGCTTCGACTATACGTAAACAACTTTTCTCTCTATTACCATTCGTTTCTTTTTAGTTACCTTGATGGA